TCCTACATGGTATCTGATTGGGTGAAGAAGTGCATGGGTTGTTGCAGTTCCATTCATACCATTACAGTTTAACACAGTTTTAGCAAAGTGTTGTGAACAGTGTCTGAGAACTTGTGGTCAGTGTTTTATTTTTGTGTTTTGTTTTAAATTAAATCCACATCCAGATATTCTAGGAATTTATAAATGATATTGATGAATGACTAAATGACTGTAAAGGATTTTATTTAATTTTATTGGCATCTCTTTTTTTTTTTTTTTTTTCCTGAGGTGCTCGGTACTTTACCAAGGTTCTTTATCTCAGTATTTAAAACAAAATACAGTTGGAAAACCCTGTTAATGTTAGACGAATAAAGGTAATGGTATATTTGACCATATGTGTTGTTCTAAAAAGACAGTATGCTCAAATGTGCCAAGAAATTTTAATTCCTGAAAAATATGCCTTATATTTTCCTTGATGATATGCTTTTAAATGTCTTGTAGAAAAGGTCCAAGAGCATGATAAAACTACTTTATATAACTAACTGCAAGAAAACTTGAAATTCATTGCAATACTGACATTCGTTTATTTTTAAGTTAAAGGGACACTGTCAAGTAATTTATAATTAAAATATGACCTCTCTTTAAAGCGGTTATAATCTAATGGCGAATGTCCTCCAGATTCTAAGTTCATTTTTTTGTTTTAAAAAAAATTAATTGCTCTGTCTGAGAAATTAAATAAAAAAAATTAGCCACTGTTGATTCATGCCTCTTATTTATTGTTCTGCTTGTGCTGCAAGAGGCAGCCATCCAGCCACAGGGGGAGCAAAAGCTAACTAACAAACCAGAAAACTGTGTGGAAATCATTGAAGATGCCTATGACAACAAGGAAGTTTACAAGTAAAGCCAAGTTGGCTTTTGCACCCTATGAAGTGGAGGGGGGAAATTCAGTTGTCATCAAATAGAAAAATCCAGTATAGGGGTGAGGAGTGGGCGTTATTCTCAAACTTCTTAGAGGGCATCATACACAATGGAGAGTTTTAAAAAAAATACTTGACAGTGTCACTTTTTTGAGTATCCCTTGCAGGGGTTGAAATTTGCTCAGTGTAGCATTCTTTGAGAAGTAGTGCAAAACTAGCAATTTACTAAGAACTTTTCAGACGTTCTAAAGAGAGAGGCTGTCCACTTTGAATGGCTAGTGAGACGTAACAGTCACATCAGGCAAGGCAGAAAGCTGCTGGTAATTTTAACCCCTGCCTAGAGCAGACCGATAACTTCATTTGGGAGCAATTACTTTGTTGCCTTTAAAAATAGCACTGTAACCACTCTTTTTATGATTAGCTGTAGTATAACCTTTATCCCTTTCAAACTATGCAAACTATTAAATGTAAATTAGGATTCAATTAAAGATAGTTGATTATATTACAATCAAATGGCATTCATGCACTAACTGGAGTATATACAAATAAAGCTATTAGTATGACTTTTGTATGCTAACAGCAAAATATAATATACCTACCTATTCTAAAAATGATGAACATTAATATTGTATAACGACTGCAGGGGTGGGGAGGGAATGTTACCTCTTACCTTCGTAAAAGGGGATTTAAGATTTTTATAACTGTTTTCCATAAAACTTTATTTTTGTCAAATTTTTAGGTATTTAATTTGTAAAATAGATTTTGCTTTGTACTGGCATACAGAAAATAGGGTATTGATTTAAACTTTTTGAAGCCACGTGATCAAGTAAATTTGTAATAAAAAGTCAATGGATCTATATCAGTTGTACTCACTGTTTTCATTTCTTGTACGTTCTAATGCAGTGGTGCTATACGTCTCCCAAGAAAAAAATAAGCTGAATTTGGGGAGGAAGGGAGTGGGAGGAGGGGGAAAGGATAAATATTGCCATTGTAAATTGAAGTGATTTTTCATATCCAAGTAACTTTTATTGTCAGTGAAGATTTGGTAGATATGCATTTTTATCTAATGCCTAACGCATACAATTTTTTAATAATTAAAATCTGAAGTTCTTGACTATGCTTCTTTGCGTTATGCTTCCACCTTTATGTAATCTAGTACCTGTAAACTCTCAAACTGACCCTTGGATTTTTTTTTTTCTGGCCTTTAAGAAGGAAAAAAACCCTTAGAGTTTCCTCAAAGCCTTACACGGTTACCATGTTATATTTTTGCTCCCTTACATGTTTCTTCCCCCTTCCTCAAAGGTCTCTCTCCTCCATTTTAATTTCTCTAAGATAAACATTTAAAGCTTTTTAAGCAAAAAATAAGCTAACCTTTTTGGATCAAGGACTTCAGTGGATTCAGCAACTTTCATAGGCGCTAACTTTTTTTTTTTTTTTTTTTTTTTAAAGTCCAGACTTTCCATTTTAGGGCATATACCAAATCTGATTGACTTGTTCCTATTATTTCCAAAGCTGTCGGGGATGGAGTTGGATATCCTGACATTGATGTACAAGAATGCTAAAACAGGTTTAAACTTTGTGGGAACTTACACAAAACATGAACA